ATTCGTGCAGCTCATAAATTTGTAATTGTATCATAATGGTTAATGAATACTATTTTTCATTATCAATTTTGGTTTTTAAATGATAATTTACATATGTAATTGGAGATGTTGAAGATGTTATTATACAAATATTACACTCAATTTTAAATATATTGATTGATTCCTCTCTTTAGTATTCATTTTTTTTTATACTTGACAATAAAATATATGTGTATCAAAACATTAAAAATAAAATGTTCTAAATGAAATTTGTCCAAGCTTATACATAGATTTTTCTTTATTGTATTTATAATGTTTGCTATTAATATTAAAAATTATTTAAAATCATATTATCAATTTAGCAATCCATTTTTTTAAAGGTCCTTGCCTTTTAATAACTTTATTTTAAAAACTTCAAGTTTTATTTTTCAGTACTTTAAATTTTGAGAAAATAATTATTTTTTTTTTTACATACACTTTTGTGAATTGAATCACTGTATGTGGAAAAATATGGTAAAAAATTTGCATTTTAAGATAAATTTTAAGATAAATGGTCATATTTGACATTCGATACTGTGTACTAATCATTTTTAGATTACCTATATTTAATTTATTGTATATCACTGATACTAAAAGAAGCTAACGACAAGAATGCAAAAAGTATATATTTTGAATTTATTGAATACTTTCAAACTATTTTCGCATTAGCGCTGATAAATTACGTAGACGTAATAATCTTAGCTCGTGCGTAACGATAATAAAATATCTCTAATATATAAGAAGGCCATCCCCGATTTTCATCAAAAACCGTTTTAACGACAATAAGAAATGATTAAAAGTGCCCGAGAGAATAAAAAGCATCGAATAATAGATAAAATTGAAATACGGAGAATAAAATGGGGAAAGAAACAGCCTTGAAAATAGAAAACGGAAGGGTGTATATGTAATTGCAATTGGTGGCGAAGACGATATCCCAAGGAAGAAAATCACTGCGGAAAACTTGTCTAACTCTGTGACGTGTCAAGGACAAAAACGAGACAAGCATTCAACGAGAAACAGGGCCAGGGGGTAAAATGGGACGCCCCCCTTTTTATTCCAAATTGACACTTGTCGCGCAAATGCAGACCTTCGCTTGCCAAATGGGTGCGCCGGACTGTTTTATTCCAACTTTGTTACGTATTCTTACATCGCTTAGAGACGAGACCAATGCTACTCTGCTATCTTTATTTAAATAAAGTATCTAAAGGAATTCTTTCGATAGGTACAAATGAAAGTGTGAACTTAAACACGCGTCATTTCCTTGAATGATCATGTAAACAATTTATAATCTACATGAAGAATGTAGAATTTATAAATTCTGAATTATGCCGAAAGATTAATAAAATATATTACTGCATTTTTAAACATTTTTCATGTCAGAACTGTATTGTTTAATGAAAAAGATGAAATTTTCACGAAATCAAAATATGAGCTTGAAAGGCTCGATTAATACTCTTATCAAAGAACTAATCGTAAGAACACAGCAAATTGAAAGAAAATAAGTAATTGAAAAACCTTACAGAAAGTACAACCTGCTCGTGCGTCACTTTAGATTTTTTCAACGGAAAATTCACGGACCAAATACCATAGACTAAAATTACTCGAAGTAATAATTTATATTCCAATAATAACTTAACATTAGGAGCTAAACTTCAGCTTCGTAAATGTCATTACCTTAAAAATACTATAAAATCTGCTGCAACATCTAAATGAATAGCGCTCTTAACAAAATAAGTAATTTGAGTTGTGTAACTAAAAGGAAATTATTTCCCGCTACCTTTAGCCTCCTGAAAATTTATGCAATGCACTTGGCGAGTACGTACTGCGCAATAACTTTGTGCCAACATAAAAGGTAGATCAATAAAAGTCTAATAATTACGGTACATTCACCTTCGAAAGAAACGAGATCGAGAGTTAAAGCCTTATCACGCCTCCTGTTCGCCCTTACACTTGCACGCAGAAAAGCGAAAGTCGGGAGAGTCATTTATACATTATTCGTTTCGTCAAATCGATTTCGATCATCGATTTTGTTTAGCGAAGCCTATCATTCCAATGCTACTTTACTCGTTTCATGCGCCCAGAATAATTTCGATCGGGACTCTAAGGTAGAAAAATGTTGACTTTGCATCGACAGTTTTAATACTTTCGAATTGCCAACTGAAACACAACCGATGCTTTTTCTCCTTCGAGTCTATTCTTACATTTCTTTATCTTCGTTGGGAGATTGTAGTTTTAATAGTCGCAGGTGAAGACGGTTTCGAAGGATTAAATTTTCTTCGGATAATGGAGGTAGTAATCATCTAACTCACAAGGCTAATTCTACATCAAATATATAATAAATTTTCTATATCACTTATAATTCATTTCAGATATATACTAATGACATATAATAATCGTCATTAGTATGCAATTCATTAGCAGCTAACTGAATATTATAAGGGAATTAATTGAATTTTAATAAGGCTGATTAACATTCAAAAGCTAATTCTCGAAGTTTGAAATGTAAAATTATGAAATTTAAGTATTTATTTATCGTGTACGTTATTAACAAATTAGCACTTCAAAATTTAAAATAGCTGAAACAAGAAAGCAGAATATTAATCACACACGCGCCTACACGAAGACGTTAAATTAAAAAATTATCACCAAATGTAAACTTAAAATTAATTTTTTTCAATACACTGATCCATAAACTTGTAAATTAATGTTTAACGTCAACTAAATAATATGACATTATAAACACGAATGGACAAACGCCTTAAATAATTCTATTTATTAGTTTTACAAATTTCATTGCAAATTTAATCGTTTAACTGCACGGATTAAAATTCGCACAGTTAGTATTAAATTTTACATATTGATAAAACCCGATAGCTCTTCTCTTTTTTTTAGAGAATTAATTTACGAAACACTAAATATTTAACTTAAATTTAAAAACTTAACCGAAATTACTTAAATCTTATTTATTTTTGAAAGTCATTATGGTCCTCCCATTCAATAAAGAAAATAACGTATATTTACTTTGCCATATTAATTTCAAGAAACAATAGTATTAATAATAATTGCTTTGACAGTGGTAAGTTGTAATTTCAAAATTTTCCAAAATTTTGTATATTTAAAAGTAATGCCATAAATGCATATTTGTAAAATGAAAATCAAATAATAAAAAGTTTATTTACTCAAAATAAAAATCGTGAAATTATTAGATTTTCGTTTATTTAATGTCTATGAATACTCTTTTTTTTAACAACAACATTTCAAATTTATTTTTCAAAATAAATTTATACTTCAAACAATTAGAGTTTTTCTTATGAGATTAAAAGTATTCTCGGTAATAAATCATTTCAATATATTTGGATTAAATAAATTTTAATCCAATTGCAGTTGATTTTAATTTTCACTATTGATTGAAAATTATTATGATACAAATAATATAGTAATATTAAATAATCGTATTAAAATGAAATAAAAAGTATTAATGAAACTAATAGCATTTGTCATTGGTTGTAATAAATTACATTTTAGAATGTTCGGCAAATGTAAATAATAAATGTACTATAAAAAAAAAAATATATATATATATATATATATACATTCGTTTAACAAGTAATTCCAAACTATTTGAAAAGTAGTGAATGCAATACAAATATTATTATATTGATAAAATATAATAGAAATAATAGATATAATAACGATTCAATAACATAAGTTAACAATAATTGGTTAAAAATATAATACATAAAATTTTAATTGAATTGATATATTTTCGTACACTTAATAAAAGAAAAAAAAACAAGTGTAAATGAGAATAAATCAAATATTCATAATTCAAAATAAAAGTGAAATTTACTTATAATATATAGATATAATTCTATTAGCGTAATCGTAATAATATTTCGATACAAACTACTACTTCTTCTAAAAGAGTTAAAAAAAATTTATCATCGTCCACTGTACCTTATATAACACATCATATATTTTAATATTTTCAAGAAATAACGTTTTATTGCTTAATTGTACTCGTCAATTACTATTTGCGTTTTATAAGCTATTAATTGTTAGCTCTAACGATCCTCATTACGAATTATGAATATCTCTCTTCCTGTATATGAGAAGCGCCGCTACATATTTGTATTATCAATCGGAAATGTGTTGGGCCAGAGACAATATACGTTGAAGAGCCCTTCGCGATATAATATTGTAGAGCAGTCGCGTAGCATCGATTCTGCCTTTCTTTTTCTTTTTTTACCACGCAATAACAAAGTTTTATCATTAAACTTTATACAAAATTGCACAGTGAATTTATATCGAGTAATCATGCACGAGTAAAATATTGGTTACAAATTTTATGCTGCGTTTGGATCTAATAGCGATAAGACTTTTTTAAGTTTGCAAGCAAAATATTAACGATATATTAATCCTTAATATATATGATTATCAACTAAAATTCGATAAAAATGCCTGACTCCTCGCTTCTAAGATTGACTGTAGAATTATAGAAAACGTTAAAAAGTTGATTGCCTAAATCTTAATATTATTGTACCGAGTAACGGAAAGAGAGTTACGGAATTTTTTTATTTTATTCCTATGACGTTAGATTGATGATAATCAGATGCTTCGTGTATTGAAAAATATAGAAGTCGAACAAGGAAAATTACACCCGTTGAATACAATATTTTCAAGGTTATTTATAATTATCTATATTTCAGCACAATCCCCTCTATACATGGACAATATTATTGTTATCATTTATTAATTATATACAAGTCAGTATTCGCAATGTTTGCTGATGTTAATTACGATTAAATATCAATTTAGATAGACCGAGTAAATTTTTCACGAAATTAAAAATTATATCAATTATTATTAGGCATCAATGGCTGTACGATCAGTAGGGAATCGTGAAGCTTGAAATATCGCAAACCCGTAATAATAAGATTATCGCTGACGCGTTTAAGGATGGAAGACATCGTCGGACTTACCCAAAGCCAAGCAAAGACAGGCAAGTATCGCCGGTATCCAGGATGCGACGGAAGCCGAGGAGTCGTTGAACCTCTCCATAACCTCGACGTATAATACCCCATAGGACTTCACGAGGCCCGCCACCCAAAACTGCACGAAAAAGGCCCCGAAGACCACGACCCAGCCGTAGCCCCCGTCAAGGGGCTCGAAGGTGATTTTCCTGAGTCTGCGTCGTCGCCTCCTCGCCTCCTCTCTCTTGGCCTTCTTAGCTTTCTTCTTGGTTAACCTGCAGCTGACGCCGGTACGTTTACCAAGCTCACGCGATTTGGCGATCAGTGGTCGAGCCGTGAGTGAGGAGATCGTCAGGAGATTGTCGTTGTCTTCATCCTCCAATGTCTCGGGTGGGCTCAGATGCGGCGGAACAATCGGCGTCGACGTTGCCGTCGCCTGCACGACCAACGATGCTGGCCTGTAATCATGATAATGGCTGCCGGGAGCTTTAGTGGGTCGCGTGGTGTTATGGGAAAATTGGCCGAAGCCATAATACTGCGTATTCACTTTTAAGAACTCGTCGTCGCATTTAAAGTTATGGACAAACCAAACGAAAAGACAAAAAAAAAAAAAAAAAAAAAAAAAAAAAAAAAAAAATAAATACCCAGATAAAGCTAAATGTAAAGACTTGGATTCGTATAAATGATTATTCTTCTATTTGTTCTACGATTGTTTTACGTATCTAAATTAAGCTAAATATTCAATGTACTTGCATACATTTCTTTCAAAGTATCGCATATGCTAGGAAATTACGAAAACCGAGTTAAAATATGATTTTACATTTTGAAAGTACCCAACCGATGTAGGACGATAAAATTTCACCAAACTTCCGAAATAAAATGTCAAGCTACATTTAATTAAAAGTTACAAGGTTTTGTAAATAAATGAAAGAATTTTTTTTTTCACCGGGCATTGCAAAACAACAATTTCCAATTATTGTGTAATGAAACAACCTTCGTAATCACTTCTCTTCTCTCTCTCTATCACTCTCTCTCTCTCTCTCTCCCTCTCTCTCTCTCTCTCTTCTGTGTATGCGCGCGCGTGTTTATTTCATATAGTTTATTAGGCAAAAGTTATTTTAGCCTTTGAATTATGTATTGTAATTTTAAGCATTGTAAATTTGTACGAAATATACATTATTGGTTAAGAATTGCAAAAATACTGCGTTTTAATGTTATTATTATGTGTCCTGTAGGTAAAGAGTTTATATACATTTTTATAATTTAAGCAATGAATCATTGATTGAATTATATTTTAAATGCTCATTTGTGAAAATTCCAATATTTTCCTCTTGCCAGGCTTTAATTCCAAGACTTAATAAACTAACGTCGCTTTTAATAATATTTTATTAGATCCGGCATATCGCATGACAATGTCTTCATATTCGAATTATCATTCTGAAATTAATTTTTTTTTGTACTTTCTCTTCTTCATCTTCTTCATAATAATAACAATACTGCAGATTTTACTAACCAACTCTTTAAGCACCAATTTTGTCCTTGCGATGGCTCTTAAAGCCATAAAGGGTCATCTAAGTCAACCAAGAACGCCATTAATTTCCAATAATAGGAAGAGGGCTTCTCCTTGGGAATTGGCAATTGCGTTCGCAGCAAGTCGAAATTTAATTTGAAAATACACTTAACCTTGTGATAATAAATTGTAGTATTACCCGGTTGGTGAGTTGGAGCCACCGTTACACACGTCGTACACGGGTGCCGAATGTATGGAAAAGAGCGATCCCAGCTGGTTGTGATGCTGGTTCATATTCTCGTCGATGATGGCCGGTCCGACCATCTCCTGTGACGACGTCGTGACGATCGGCGACAGGACCGTGTCGCCGATCGAGCGGCTGCAGCCGTGGCGATCCTCCAAAGTCTGATTGAGCTGCTGCTGGTTATGATGAAGGCTCCACTCGCGTGGTAGCGACATGACGTAGCGTCCGGGTCAGCCTCGCTGGTACTGCACTTACTACTCGCAGAGCATCCGGCGCGAGAACCGGGATACATTGGACTGTCTGCGTGGGTGCCTTGGGCAGCTACTTCACGAGATATATGTGTATGTGGAGGATAGGTGGAGTATCCTTCGCGACCCTCGCGATTGTGCGCGATGATGGTCCTTGGCAGAAGCTGTCGTGGCTCTACTTGCTTGAGCGAATAGAAAGACAAACAAACCATAGGGCATTTTTTTTACGAGTGTATAGAAAAATCTTGGTTTTTGTGCTTTAGAATGACTACAATACCGATAGATAAGCTATCGACTATTGCAGACTAATATTATATTAATCATTTTTCCACTGCATTCAATGCAATATATTGTTTTTTTTTTATTATGCATTCGTATTTTGATATTTAAAAGTTAAAAGTAGAACTACAAAGTACACACTTGCAAAAAATCTTTCGCTTTAAAGGATCCCCAAACATATAATTATATGTAGAGGTCTACTCTTAAATTTCATATTATTTTGATATGGTATGATTATTTAATTTGAATTTTTAGTTGGCTAATTTCTATACTATTTGGCCAAACTGAAACAGCACGGTTCATTGATTATTAAAACCTATTTTAAATTTACGTGTATTATAATGTCGAACCTGAGCCAGTCTGTGTTACTATAGACAATCCTTGCGGTCGACGATCCCTCTAAATCGAGGGATTGTCAGGAAATGCAAAATTTGCACTCTTGATTTCGTCAACCCGTTATCAATGCCAGTTGCAAATTCTCTCCGATGGTCCTTTAGTTTGAACTAGGCTACGTGCACGACCTGAAACTGTCTAAAATATTCCTCCGTCGGTAATTTAACCTTTAAAGCTGTGTTATATGTTCTGTATTATTGTTGAGAGCATGCGAGACTTGGGGATATAAATATTCGTAGCATATATTTTTGTTTTTAAGCAAATGGGGCTTTCCTCCTCGACATCAATAGAAAATTAAAATTATGGAAATGAAATAATGGAATTATGAGAGTAATAGAGAATAAATAATGTTGTTGATTTCTTATTTTATCCAGATTTTATGCAAGAATTGTAAAATAAAAGATTTGCGCAGACAAATGCTTGGCACGATATCTTAAAAATTAATAATTATCAGCTTTAATATTTTCCTTATTAATAATAACAACTTTCATACATCATTTAATTATTATGACTGATTTATTTTTAATAGTCGTATCTTAAAATTACTTAATCCCAATATAAAATTAATAAAGATGTATGAATTATTGAAATTCAAACAATAAATATAACAATAAAAACAACAAATAAAACTTTATTATATTGAAAATATTATTTAAACTATATATCATTAAAATAAATTTTTGCATCATTACTATTTTATAAATAGCTCAAGCATAAATAGGCTTTAAATGGCCGATATTTCATAAATATAGAGTTTAATTATAAAATATACTTAAATTTTTATAACGCCATGATTAATTTTATTTTTCCTTATACTTAATTACTCTTAACTGAATCAAATTTACTATCCGATTTAATATTTATGTTTAAAAAATATATAATTAAATCTTTTTTCCTTTAATATTTTACACTATACTGTTTATAATCAAACTAAAATGTTATGTCTTACGTATCGAAGCTCAAAATATCAAGTATTAATAATTCAAAAGTATAAATATAAAAGATATTGTTACATTATGAGCGATAACATTAATTTAACAGAATTTAAAACGTCCACGAGCATTCATGTGATCGTATGCTTAGGACATTATTTTAAACATAATATATTTTTTAAAGATAGTACATTTTAAATAAATAATATATTAAAATAAAACATTCCAAGAATGTATAGAAGAGTTTCTAAATCTATTTATCGCCTAAAAGACCTTCGCATTCATAAATAATCCTCGGATAGTTTAGCCATGACTTTATTACCAAAGATTTAAATGCAATCTAAATGAAAACGTATGATTCATTTGCATACACTTCACTAATATATTTTCTTCGATGATACGTAAGCAAACAATATAACCTAACAGAATATGGTTATAAAGGCTCCAGTAAGCCCCGATAAATTGTATTTTTTATACAAAATGACAGTGAATTATTTAAGTTTACAAATCTAACAAAAAGACATTGAATGTTTATAAAAATATTAAAGAATATCATCTTTGTATATACTCTGAAGAAGCCTGAAGCATGTACGATGCTTACGAACTCGACAATTAACATAATTACACTAATAAAAATATCAACACTGAACAAACCAAATTGAACTACGAAAATTTAACAGCTGCGAAGCACGAAATTACCCTTCAAGTAGAGTGATTCAACGTCCAGACCTCGATCAATGTTACGATCCTTAAAAGCAACATAATTTTGATCAAATAAGATTAGGAGGCAAAAGAATCGGAAATAGCAGCAGACACTAATGATTCGATATTATGATGCTCGAAAGTAAAACGCACACGCACGCACGCACACTCCCGACGTATGAGAAATTTTGTATTTCAGTACTGCGAGAGCTTTGGGCTTACAGCACATGCTTGACAGTCCCATACGTCTAGTATGTAAAGAGGTGCACAAGAGCATTGTATAACAACACTGGAGCTATGTGAACGATGTAGATAGATCCCGAACAAGTTGGACTTTAGATGGGGATACCGGTACCAGGAATATGTAACACGTACCCCGTGGATGGCTCTCCTTGGCCTTGGGACACGTCCGAGCAACTCGGATGCGTTCTGAGGAGCAAAACCGTGAACGATCTGCGAGGACGGCGCTGCTGCGGGTTGGTGGACGCTCTCGCGGTAAGCTCATAGAAGACGGAGATAGAGGATGAAGCTTGTTATGCGCGGGCGCGCACGCACGCGTCCCGCGTCATCGAAGCCTCCCTTCCGTCTCCCACGAGAACCATACGTATATATGTATGTCAAGAGAAAAAGAGAGAGTAGGAGAGAGAGAGAGAGAGAGAGAGAGAGAGAGAGGAGCTTAACGAATCGATAAGAACACCTGAATACCTCCCACCATTACTCTAACACTCTATCTTCCTTTATCCCTTTATATTATTTTAGTTTATAGAACTTTTTTCCAGAATTGAGGGCGCAGGAGAGCAAAAATCTTGTTTTAAGAAAAAAATTCTCTAGAAAACTGCCTACTTGGATTGATGTGCTATTATATCAGTATCTTATTCGAGATAATTAGTTAGAAAGTCAAGCTTCCGCTCCACCTTAGTATTCACCGAGATTTCTAGTTTGTATAGATCAAATCGCGATTAGTCTATCGAGAGTCTTGTATTACATTACGTTGGCAATCGAAGAATTTCACTATTTACTCATTATTTCATAAACAACTGAATCTTAGATAATAACGATGACATTATTTCATTATTACCATAAAACTTTCTTTCCCATTTATTATATAACGTTAGTAACTGACATTAATTGTATTATAACTTATTTGTCCTTTGCTGATATAATTAATGTCTCGCAAAAACGTATGTATCTAAAAAATCAAAATGCAATTCAAGTACTTAAAGTATGTTTAAATTTTTTTAAATATCTAAGAATATTTTTACAATTTGTAGATTTTAACATTTCAACAAGCATCCACAAAGCCCATTATCATCGATTGTATCTCATCTATGGCATTAATAATACGTATAATAAATCCTAATTTTAACTAGTCAATTATTTTAATAATAATTTAACAAATTAATTAGAAGGTAAATATAATGACTGTAATAATAAAAAATGATTGAGCAAATATATCCTTATGCATAATATGTCCTTTTGCTTAATATATAAATCTTATATTACATTATAAAATTACACAAAACTGATATCGAAATAATGAAAATAAATTTAATCATCTATTCTTGGTTTATTTACGGAAGACTTCATAAAAACAATAATCCAAACTATTCTATTTATGGCATAAAATAATGACAAATTTCTTTAAGTAATTATTTCAATGTTAATTTTTGTAATTTAAGAAAATTGTTTTCAGAACAATATTAATATATTAAATGAATTAAATGAAAAGAAATCTATGAAAGTTAAAATAAAAATATTAATTGTGCATAAAAAATCAATTTACTAAAATCTTAATACACTATATTATATGAGAAATTATAATATAATTAATAACAATGCTGTCAAATTGATATTTGGACCTTAGATTTTTTATTACGAAATTTTGATGACAACGTACCCAGTTGCGCCATGTAGTTATAAGAAAAAAAAATAAAAAAAACAGCAATTTTCCTTTATCTCAATCAATTTTTATTTCTTTTATTTTTTGTAATACGCGCGTATCTAAACTATTGACTACTTAACGTATTTTTTACGTAGTCTGATTTATTTACAAAACATATTTACAATATAGAGATGTTTAATTATAGTACTGTCAAACAGAATAATAAACGATTTTAACGATACCATGATTTAACTCCTAAGTAATTTTATATAATCCCGATTTAAATGTATTCATGAATTATGGTAATGAAAATTTTGTTTCCATTGATTTTCCCTAAATATGCTTATAAATTTCTAACTATGACATTAAAACGCACAGAGAACTCTATTTTTATGAAATATTTACGGAATCATCGGATTTGGAAAATTTTACGAAATATTTTACTCAATTTCAATATTGATGATTACAATAACATAGTAATTATATCCATACTTACAGCTTCGTTACTTTGGTTTGTACCGTATAAAACGATATCATTTCTGTTTCATCCGCTGTCACTATTATCGCGTTCAAACTTACTCTCGAGACTTCAACACATTTTACGTATATGAATACATTTAAAATGAATTGAAAAACACATCTATCTCGTGAAAATGCTATCTAAAGCGTATTGATAAAATTTATGAATAATTTATGAAAAAAAAACTTATTGTAATAAATTATTATATTAAACGGAACTTATTATAAATCATAATAGTTCAATGAATATAAAAGATTATGTGAATATATAATAGAAATTTATAATCTTAAGTAGGATCTATTTTTAACTACTAAACTATAATAAATGCGACTGCAATATAAGATATTTGTATTTATATATTGAATTAAAACTAAACATTTATTTTCTCAATAAATGAATACATTCAATTTATGCTAAAATGGATTATACATTATTTTAAAATAGAGTTCACAATGTGTATGTATATTATGAAAAATAATGTGAATACTATCAAATAAATGGCAATTAACGTGCATTTTAAGCATATTATTATAATTATTAAATATTATTATACTCATTAAACAAACTAGATGAAAATTATTTTCTATGTATTATTTATTTTACTTTTTTTTTTTTTTTTTTTTTTTTTTTTTTTTTGCTAACATTAGTGTTTACGTCTGTATATGAAATCTTCTTTATATATAAAAAATAGTAATATAATAAAAAAAACTTTGTACATAAAATATCAAATTGTTAAAATACATATGGTAATCTATTTATTAATCCAAATATTTAAATCCATTATAAAAATTTATAACTATTCATTCGATTTAACAATCAAATTCAACAAAGTATATTTTAATGCATTAAATTGAACTTAAAATGCATATTTAGTATATCATTATAATAAATATACATTTGACAACGCTACTTAATTTGTCTTTAAGCTTTTTATATTGATTATAAATCAACGCCTGTTTATCTTAATTATAAAATGAAATATTTTAATAATGTAAAAGCCGCAGATTTCTCACAAAAGTTTCTCAAGCTTTCGGTTCGCGTTAATGGCAACGAGTCATACACTCAAGCAGTGATTATCATCTGCAGGAATTTTATTTACTCTACTATTCCTAATTTTTATTTATTCAGCAACCTGTTTCTCCGAATGCTTTATTTTATAATTTTAAGTTAACACTTTTAAACATTTGTTTCATATTTTACGATCTCCTCTTTCATTTACCGATAAAAAATTATATGCACAGTAGTAATTTTATTCTCATTAATTAATAAAATTAATAAATGTTATAATAAATTAATTGATAATCAATAAATGACGTTAATGATACTTCTAAGTATAAAATTAATGCTCTAACATTGACATTTAGATTGAGTATCTTTGTACACAGAAAATTACGAGTAACGTATTATAACGGTAAAATATAGAGGAAATTTTAAATCTTGTTTAAAACTTGTAAGAAAACCAATTCCCTTTTATTAAATATAAATAATGTAGTTATTATTTTGCTTCAATGTAGAAAAATAAAAACTTGTAAAGCATTGAAATTAAATATTATATTTCAAAATATTTGTACAGAATAAAATTGAGAAAATCTATTAAATATCATATTCTTTTTTATATGATCTTTTTAATTTAATAAGAAACAAAAATTTCATTCAATTTAACCATAAACGTATTAAAAAAAAAAAAAAAAAAAAAAAAAAAAAAAAAAAAAAAAAAAAAAAAAAAAAAAAAAAAAAAAAAATTTTATGACAAGTAACGTCAAAAATTGTAAATATTATTTTCAGTGTGGTCTTATACATTTTAATAAAGACAAAGAAATAACTACGATTACTAATAGAGTGTGACTAAGCCACACAACGAAACAATACTAAAGCAAGGCTGCATTTACAAGAAAACGCGATGCTCCAAGGAAAAAAAAAACAAAAATAAACGAAATTTCGATTATTTCTTTTATTTGAACGGTCTTATTCCTGTTTAAATATCTAACAATATCGAAATATATTATCGAATAAATAAACTTGTTTCTCTTGTATTTGCTTAGAATTAAAAGAATATAAAAAAAAAAAAAAAATGTTTTTTTAAAAAATTACGTAACTCTTTTCATGGAAATTAAGAAAATAATTTTATAAAGCAATTATTACTTTTTGTTTTATATTTTTTCAAGTTTCTTTCGTCACTGTCATCGTTGAATCAATAACATTATATCGATAATTTTTTTCTTAATGCATGTATTAAAATCCGATTAATGTATAGAAATTCATCATTTTCACCCAAAGCAATTTGTAAAAATATATAAAAAAATGTTTACTTAAATCGTACGAATGACATTTATTTTAAAAGCCCATAATTAGACTAAAAATTTGTATTAAAATATATAAAAATTATTCCACGTACTGGTAACAACTTTTTTAATTATCGAATGATACCGATGCTAAATTTACTAAATATTGATATATTTTACATATATGAGTATTTTACAAAAAATAATCTTTCAATAATTTTTCATCACAATTTTAATATTAAATATTATAAAAAGTATATAATATCTTTCATGCAATACAATATCTTTCATTTCTATTAATGTTATAAACATTTTTTTTTTTTTTTTTTTTTTTTTTTTTTTTTTGCTATGACTGAAATACCTTTATATAAAAACAATATAGAATAGTGTAACAAATACATTGATTTCAAGGTGATATTGGCATGTATACCCTTGATGCAATAATAAACTAAAGGACAGAGTTATTAGTTCAATATAGCGAATGTGGAATTTATCATAAAAAAATAATGGTAGTGGAAGAAAAAATTTCAAAAAGAAAAAGAAAATAATTTCAGGAACAGAATTGTCCATTTTTACATGTTAGCAAAAATATAAATATATTGAGAAAAGCAAATCTAATTACTTCTGTACATAAATAAATCTCTATAAAAATATTTCTTTGAAAGTGTTTATTTATTTGAACGTATATTGAAATGCATTGATATACAATGATAATTTATTTATATTAATAATTCCATGACATATAATTATTATCTAATGAATAATATAATATTAATTCATTTATAAATCAATCGATACAATAATAACTGTTATGTTATATTAAGAATTTTATGATTAGAAATATAATAAAAAGAATAGTATACAGTATTTGAAGTTAAAATTTACAGTTTTGTTTATTTAATTGTTAAATAATTTATTTGTTTATAATAAAATTTGAGAATATTTAATTATATGTAAAATACGTATATGTTCGAATAATAACTCGGCTGAAGAATGAGTTTAATATACTTGAAAATATATTAATACTACAGATACTGAGCAAAAATATTTGTTAAACACTCTTAATTAATTATGATTCTCCGCAATGAACAAATATAAAATATAGATTACGAGTTTCTATAGCTACTTATTTTGAGGTTAGACGAAATATGTACATTTTTTTTTTTTTTTTTTTTTTTTTTTTTCCCGTCAATACTGTCACCGCAGAATTTGATTAGAATATTTTGTGTCCCCTATATTAATTATACATACTATGACAACAACGAAAAAAAAAGCAACGTGAAATTAAATATCCATAAAAGAAATTATCGTCAAACACACGCAAAACCATAGCATTTTAACGATAGATTTCAAGAATTTAACCAAAGTATAAGGTTAGCCACAGACGACGCGAAGTACATCCAACTAAAGCAGACGGTTTGTTAAATGAAAGAAAAAAAAATCAGCCTTTTTATCATTATACGTGAAATTTATCCCCACTTATGTTAACACAATATCTATCCAAACGTATTGTGCGCGTACATAAGTTCGATGTACTTGCTGTTATCTTTAGTCGCTTCTTCGCTTGATTACTGAATGGTATGTATTTAGCGTTTTTCACTTATATATAAATTGCAATTTTATTTAGATAAAACTTGATCCTTAGAGAAAATGGCCAGAGACAAATTAGAAGATGAGTTGTTAAAGCGATGTTATTTGTAATATAAATATATAGTGTAAGTGTGCACTGGAAACGCAGTTATGCTATTAAAATTTTCATACTTTAATCATCGTGTGGGATGTAATGCGTGTATTTAAAAAAGTATATTACATGATTATAAATGTGTGAATAAAAAGTATTGAGGCATATACGGGAAGAGAAAGTATTTTGAAAATAAGAATAAAACAACAATGGCCGGGCTGTATTGGCGTGATAAGTAATTCTCAATGTAAAAACAGAGTGAATGAAATAATAGACGATACCATCGAGGAGTCAAAAAGTCGTCGACCGTCTTCGTTTATATCTAACTGCGTGACGAGAGTGAGACGAGGCTTGCTTGGCTCGTCAATAATTCTCGATTAATCCTTGTCAATAATGACTCGATTACGTAGAGATACGAAAGAGCGACTGTGTCCGAGGGTAGCCAACAGGCTGAATGATAAACAATAAAGGCTGGATTAGACGAGACGAGGACGGCAGTAAACATAACCTTGAAAATGACGCGAGGGAAGGAGGTTTCAAGGCAGGCAATGGATATCCGCCGAGAGCGGACACGGCGCATTTTTCAATCCCGCGGAAGAGATATTATGAATGTGGAGGAGTTGGAGAAGCAAGATGTCGTCGACGCGCATAGCCGGGACTGTCGCAAGAAAGGCACGATAATTCGAAGCAAGAAGCGCGAGGTTATCAAGTCGATAATAGAGTTTTGCGACCAGGAGGCCCGGGAGAAATCTCTTCTTTTCCCCCATTGAAGCAGGCCACCAAGCGCGCTGCACAATATGCCAGGATCTCCGAGAGGACGGTCAAGAGAATTCGCGAGGAAGTGAAGCTCGGCATTGAATTCACGGACGCCGACAATTCGTCCTCGTTGTCGTCATCGTCGTTGGTTTCTGGCAAATTGGTGAGAGCGCTACGAGTAAAAATGACATTACGTGCGGAGAGGATATAGTTGCCCACTACGTTGGCGATAGTGACGACATTGTGCTTTAGTGTTACCTACGGAAAGGAATTGTTTAAAAAATTTTATACTACCACCTCCTCCTACTCTTCTTCATACCGGCCAACTCATTCAATCACTCTTGCTCTCTTTTCTCTCTCTCTCTCTCTCTCTCTCTCTCTCTATCTCTATCTCTCTCTCTATCTCTCTATCAATGTCCATGCTATTTTCATTTTTGGTCTGAATACTGTGATTAGCCGATTTTGAGTCATTTATTGATGCTGTTGATCCAAACGGGGATTGGTGGGAGAAATTGATGGGTTGCTTAGAGTCATCGTACATAAATAATTCTATATGATAATCGTCACTTGATCGTGCTTGACAACATTTTACAATTGTGTAGATTTTTTCTTTCTTAATACTACTCCCTACATTGTTCTGCTGCAGCTTTTTATCATATTATGAGACATGGGACAGTCTATGAAAAGAAAAAATTTATATTCTAAGATATAAACCTTTTACCATTTTTGTTATCTATTTTATAATAAATAAATGCGCGTAACTTTACGATAGAAACATTTATTAACAAATATTTTGAACTGTGCTGACGACAATATCTCTGGTAAAAAAAAATGTTTATAGATATGTTTTAAATATATGCTATATTACGGTATCTTTACTATATGTAATAAAAATGACAATAATATGATAAATGATAAATGATAAATGATATATATATATATATACATAATAAATGATAAAAATGAGTGTTATATTATATATAACAAACGCTTTAAGACGTTAATAAAAGTAAAAAATGGCCATTTTTTTACAATTTTATAATTAATTCATTTTTCAAACATAAGATTATTAATGAATTACTTAAAAAATTGTATTTTTAAAAATCGTTCGTTTTACTTGAATTTATAACAATATTAATTAATATAAATAATTCATTGAAAATTAGTCGAATAAAATCTATTTTTGCAACAATATTGCTTATTAAAATAACGACCCTCACCTTATACTTATGATACATTTTAAATGATTAAATAATTTATTAACAATTTATTTTATAATGACCAGTCTCAGAAATATTTAAAACTATGAGAAATCAGGGGAAATCTTAATTTATCGTAAATATAAATTTTTTTTTCATCGCTTAAATTATAAATTCAAGAATATATAATTAAAAACATTTTCAATAAATCTTATTATTAAAATAATAAATTAATTAATAGACTATTATTTATTTATTATATAATTTTATAAATCTTATTAAAATAAATGACAATAAATTACATAGATTTTCATATAAGCAAAATTTTTACATTCAACTTTTTATTAAATTAAAGTAGCATAAATATATGATTTTTAATTCAATAGAACACGTACTATAAAAATAAAGTTAATTAGCATTATCTGTTATATCAATATTTTTAAGGATTTTTGTGATTTATTTGTATTTAATGAAATTATATTTGAATAAAGACTTTATCAATTTAATCAATAATTGTAACTTTTCTTTTCATATACGATATTTTACTATAATTTATTAAAAGAAAAATGGTAAACTCGTATTACTTTATTTTTTATAAATTTTATTCTCATTGCATCTTGATAATCACAATTTACTTTACATTCATTTAATATATTTTAATTAATTTACAAGTTAAAATTTTTCGTAATTTAGAAGAAAAAATATGTTTTGCATTTTAACATTATACTTTTGTTAACATTATATTCATGCGTTACCTTATACTAATAGCATCTTTAAATTTACTCAGATTGATATTTTACTTTTCATCAATTAGCACGAATAAAATGTAATCAATTAATTGTAATGAGAGTAATTTTGTTTCGCTTGCTAGCTTACATCGAATATTTTTTATTTTTATTTTTAGAATAAATGCACATCCCATGTTTAAATTCATTCGTTCCATTCCACATAATTAATAATAAGAAATTATTTAAATAAAGATTAATCTGATAATTGTATGGCTGTTAATAAACAAAATGTTTTTTAAGATATCGTAAATAAGCAGAACAATTATAAAAAAGAAAAATCAATTTATGTGTCAAATTTTGTAAATAATGTAAAAAAATAATTCAATTAAAAAATTAATTCAAAGTGAGCAATCACTTTTGTAAAAAATAAATAGAATATGCGAATGATTTAAGAAATATCCATTATAAAATTAATGTTCAGTTCACAGTTTTAATGTTGCAAAACATATGTAGGAATCTTAAAATAATTCTTGAAATTGGTTTTATTTATAATTTAAATTTTTAATGTATATATAACTTGTATAGCATTCAAATTTATGTTATTGACAGTTATTGCATTAGAACAGTGAATCCTAACTTTTGAATTATTGATTTGTTTAAACATACTAAAATTGATTTCTATAATTATTCAGAATAAATTTAAGTTTAAATATTTTTTAGTTAAAAAAATCCTTTTCTATTTTCAATTATACGTATAAGTTAATATTAATTTAGTAATGAAGACATTATGAAAAAAGTGAGCAAATACGCGATCTTCTTTACATATAATTTTATAATACAATCTCACTCAACCCTATAGACACTTAGTATTTATATATTTTTCTCTCAACCAATTCTGTAACATAATTATTATTTATGTTCATCAAATAATAATAAATGAACCATAAAAATCTATAAATGGTCCGTAATAAATAATATAAATTATAATTTTATGATAAATAAAAAACGGAATTAAACGGAAAATAAAGTTGATAAAATAATATTTAGTAAATAAGTTGGATAAAGAAGATTTTGAAAATATTGAGACGACTATCTATTTAAATATCAACTTATAATTTATTTATTTGCTACTTTAACCAAAATAATTAGATAGATATAAAATGTTGCTAATATATATAATTATTTTCATGATAGAAAATGTACATTTAAGCATAAACAATTCAATCATAGAATTTTCGTATATCTGTATTTTAAAATATAACATTGAAATTGCAATTAACGTACGAAATTCCATTCAAATATTGTTTATTCAATGTCAGATTTTTATTATTTTATAATGAATCTTATTTACTGTGGTCGGTAATTAAATAATCATTTGAACCAATATTTAACGAGCCAAGATCGAACAAATAGCTACTTGTTAATTCAGAAAATTATTAATATATATATTTATTGTCGTATAAAATTATAGATCATAAAATAAAGCCTTCAAATACCCATTTTACATGTTAATATTAAAAATGCTTATAATATAATTCAATTAACTGAAGATATATTAATAGTCTTTTATTATTCTTATTGCAGATATAAGAATAAAAAAAGATGAGTTAAACAGTGTAAGACAATAAACTTTTAAACGACTAATATAATACATTGTATATTATATTGTTTATAAAGTACAATCTCTGTGTAATAATTTATGTACTTATATATTTACTTTTTGCAGAGACGAGTAAGGATGGCTCTCAAATTTGCTAGCAATCTTTCTTTTATGTTTCAAGAAGCTCCATTACTTATTGATAGATATCAATTAGCTAAAGATGCAGGTTTTAAGGCCGTGGAAAGTGGGTTTCCACTTGGATTTACTGTACAGCAAGTCGCAGAGGCTAAACACAATGCTAATATTCATCAAGCTCTTATCAATGTATATACAGGTACAATTATTTTATATCAAAATACAATTATTAAAAATAGAGTGAATTATTTTGCGAATAATAAAGCTGTATTATTAAATTTGATCTAACTTTATTATTGGATTGTAAATTTACTTTAGTAAAACATTAATATTTATATAATTAATTTCATTATAAATTGTAGGTGATACAACGAAAGGAGAGCTTGGATTTGCTGCAATTCCAGGAAAAGAAAAAGAATTTGAGAATTCTATCGAACGTACTATAGAATATGCAAAAGCATTAGATTGCAAGAAGTGAGTAGAAAAATATATTCCAGTCTTAGTAATTAAAAGAAAAAAAAAAACACTGAAAACCATGTACAATTGTTTTTAAAAGTGTGTTAAACTGTTGAACTAAACTAATTATTATAGCAAGCTAGTTTCTAAATAGTCAAATGTCTACGATCTTATAATTACAATTTAATAAAAGCATATTTCAATTGATATATGAAATAATATATGATTTAGAATTCATGTTATGGCTGGAAAAGTGGAAGAACGTACATCTGCTAACGACACAGTATATGAGAAAAATTTAAGGTATGCAGCAAGCAGATTTGCATCCGAAAATATTGTCGGTCTCATCGAACCAATAAATAGTATAACCATACCTACTTATTATATGAATAGTTTCCAAAAAGGTAAAAAATATATGTTTCAATTATATAATAATTGATAAGACATAATAATGATACACTACAAACGAGATTTTAAAATACTAAATATTTTTCAGCTGTGGAAATTATCCAAAAGATTAATAGTCCAAATTTAAAATTACTCATAGATATTTTTCATTTACAACTTTCTACTGGAAAAATTTCACACACTATTGAAAGGTGTTTTCCTTATATCGGTATGTCGAATATTAATTTCATCTTAGACTTAATATTTGGTTTCATTCAAAATTCATGAAATGTAATTTAAATTAAAATTATTGTATTTATTGGTAATATTTTAAAAAATTCATTATTCGGATTAATACAGACAATAAATAAAAATGTTGCGTTACACGCTGCGCCGTTCTTTTATTTTACATAATATTTTCATGTAAAATTTAAATTCACAAAATTTATTATAGTGTTTATGTATTTATATATTTATTAAGTGTTTAAGTATTTATATATTCAATTCATTTTATTTATTAGTTAAAATATTTTTTTCTTCGCCTCTATTGATCAGAATTTTAACCTGCGATATTATTAATTTGGCAATTAATTTTAAAATTAATCTTAATGCATCCTCCTCCTTGGTTCAGGTCATTTTCAAATAGCGCAAGTACCAGATAGAAGCGAGCCAGACACAATTGGTGAAATAGATTATAGATACATATTTTCATTATTAGAGAAACATGGATACACCGACTATATTGGCCTGGAATATAAGCCAAGATCGGGTACCGTTGAAGGCCTTAAGTGGATTAACCAATTTGGATTCAGCTTATAAATAAATTGTACATTTACGTTGTATAAATATTATTGTAAATAATAGTTGTTAAATTCGAACGCACATCTAATTACTATAAATAAATAAAATAAACATGCTTGCACTCATTTTTAATAAATCTTAAATTATTATATCGCGAATAAAAAATATCATGTTAAACTGCTATTATTAAAGAGTAAAATACCAAATTAAATAGCTTTAAAAACCTAACAGCCCAACTTTACAGATTTGGGCTTAAAGTAGTAAATAAAAAAATTTAATCCCAACTGTCTATTGAAAATATGGTACACAGGTATGCAAGAATACTAGTTTTCAAATAATTAAAAGAGCCAAAACAGAATGTAGTAGCGAGTAAGCCAAAGGGTGCCTCGTCAATAAGATTCACTAGGAAGCAGCGACAACCCAAAACAGGCAGCATTCTCATAATTTTCATTATTCATATACATAACATACGACAGGTAAAATAGAGATATTAAGATCTCTAGTCGCGTATCGGCCTTTTATCCGCTACCGAGTATAGCAAAGCCAAAAGAAGCCACCATTCGCGCACGTACACACCTACTCACTGAGACTCCACTCCATGTTGCGTTTTAGTGGGCAGTGGTGCATGTGGCAACGTCGCGAGGCGCGCAGTCGCGCAAGAAGGGAAAAGCGAGTTACGGCGTGCGAGAGCGAGATCGCGACTTCCTTCATACTGCCCTACGCTAAATTGCAACTGCTGCCTCGCTGGCTAACAACATCGACATCAACAACATCAACAACAACAACAACAACAACAACAACAACAACTACTACTACAACAACAACAACAACAACAACAACAACAACAACAACAACAACTACTACTACTACTACTACTACTACTACTACTACTACTACTACAACTAAAGCAGAAAGCAAAACAGGAAAAGTGTTCGCGACTCGCCATCGCCGGCAGCACGACTCCGTCGTGCTGGCGATTAGAAGAGGTTCGAAGTGACGGTGATATCGGAGCGCGTAGCGGACCTTAGCGAACCTCGTCGCGCTTCCCTTGGCCGCTTTTCCACTTCTCTTCGTCGGCGACGGTACTCGGCCACCCTGGCCCGACACGGAAAAACAAAAATGGAAAAAGTCGGGCCGTGGTGGAGCAACGACAGCAACGACGACACTAGCTCGCCAGCCAAGTGAGAGCGAAAATCTCGAGGCATCCTCGAGCCCAAGTTAGCCGCCGATTATGCCCACGATGGACAGTAAGGCTGGCTCGGGTTGCTGGTGGTGTTTCAAAGCTGTCAAGTGGATACCCGTCATTTTCATCCTCTCGATCGTCTTCTGGTCATACTACGCCTACGTGGTGCCCCTCTGTTATTGTGAGTATTATGCTGCATCCTTTGGTAAGAGCTCGTGGCCTTCGCCACTGCAAGAGCCTTATCACGCATTTAATTAATGTGCTTGTGCCTCGGGTGTGTACGTAATGTGATGTGGCCGGGGGTCGTTTTAATCGCCCAGCTTATCGTTATTTGGCCGAACTCGCGAAAGTGCCGTTTAATTAAATGTTCTCCTCGATGAATCGAATAGGCGGGTTTGTGTGCGTGCGAGTTCCGAGACAGCAAATAAGTAGGTGTCTGTCTTTCCCTCGTGTGCCCATTTCGCTCATTATTTTTGACACCTATTCATATTGAGACGATACTTTGAGGTTATTTCTTGCGCGTACAAGTGTGCATTTGACGTTCATAAATATATTTTCGTCCGTTTGGTGATAATACGACGATAAAAGCATATGTCAAGGCATTAATAATTCGTGTGAGTTTGGTAACTGATTGCGCTCTTCTTACGTCTTATTATTATTATTGTTGTTGTTGTTATTATTACTATTATTATTATTATTATTATTATTATTATTATTATTATTATTATTATCATTAATATGGGACGCGGTAAATAATAAACATACAAATGAATTGATTTTGTTATCAAGCATTATGAAAGTAATGAGTAAAGTACATCCTAAGTAAGCACAATATTATTAAAAATCTTTTTGTTGTTTAAATATTCTGTTCGATGATACGAGATGAGATACGATCCTTAAATTGCAGATCAGCTAATTCTGAAATGATAATACGGATTAACGATTACGAATAAAAACCTTCTCCGATAGACATTTTAGGTTATATACATTCGTTAAAATAAGTTTCGACGTTCGCGTTTCTCAATAAACGGTAACCCACGTCAAGACAAACGAACGAACAATTTCACCATTTAATTTTCTTAAGCGATTGATAATAATTGGATAAAAACTTCAATCTAATCTCTAACCCGAAAAGATAAGCGTTTTAGGAGATAGAAAAAATTAAGTAATCGCTAAAATCGGATCGTAAAGCCGCTGCTCAACTACCAAAAGTAAAGGCAAGCAATAATCTTTAGTGAGCATCTTTTCTTATGAATTTCAATATTTCTTCGATATGCAAGTGCATGGAACGATATCGAGATTATTGCTTACGCGATAAATGTCTCGCTATATTTGATGTCGTCGATCATTAATCTTGGGCTCTCGAACGGATTTAATAATGTTGCTGTTATTATACCAACATTACGCCTATATTATTTACGATGACCAAACTATATAAACGACATACTTATGCATATGCTAGTTACCGAATATTCACACGTACATACATCCATCCCTTTCTACTTTCAATAAGATAATATCCGTAATTAATTTTATCACTAATCTTTTCTTATTGAGACATTTTTTTTTTTTTTTTTTTTTCTTCAAGGTTTAAGATCTTTTTAGCATTTAGCATAGACATAAACACTGAAATAATTGGAACGATACATAATGTCCCAAAACGTAAAATACAGAAGGGAAACTGCAAATCGTCTGAATTTTCTAAAATTATTTTTGTTTTACTCAGTCGGCCAAATGTTCGATGTATATATTACAATAGGTATAAATAAATTTTAAATAAATATGAACTTAGTATTATAATAATTATTAATAATGCTTTTATTAAATATTTAATTTAAACAATTTAATTATTATTTTAATGGTATTTCATTATTTGCTAGTGTAATTTTAGTATCACTACAACATAAGTTACGTATTAAATATAAAATAATAGATACATATAGTTCTTGAGAGCTGTAATTGAATGTAATAAAAAGAAATGTTAACGTGAGATATAATCAGCCCATAAGCAGGAAGCAGATCTTAAGTCAAAACAATTAAAATAATTAGTCTGAATACTATTCGAAAGTCCTATTTTGCTTATTTATTTGTAAAGAATGATATCAAAAATCGTAATTAAAAATCGTATTTTTAATTATATATATATATATATATATATATGGTTTAAAAACTTGTTGACACATCTCCCATTTATGCCTTCAATTATGTAAATCATTTTTAATGCGTAACCGTTTGTTATTATTTAATTATATGGTGCTACGTACTAAAAGTGTCTATATGTTTTGTAACACTTGTTAGTTATAATCGTTTTAGTTGCTATTCATATCCAGTCATTTATTGATTCTCCTATATTATCAAATTACATTTACATTTAAATGTTATTGAAATATATCTGAATTTATTACCAAAAACCAGTCAATACATAAATTTTAAATACGATATATTATATTTTACTTTATTTTAAAATACTACTCTATTCTTGACAATTTCGATTTCATACAGATCATTAATTCCTGCTCCAATATATTTATGCCGTATGAACTAATAAATAAATCATTAAAAATATGTTTCTCAAATTTTACATCTTTAAGAAAAATAATGAGAACTGCTGGGCTTAAACGGAGAACTGTATGAAATAGAATATTGAACAATCAGATTAAAATATTTTTGCTAATTCTAGAAAATGTAATAATGACCCGCTTATATCACAATCGCACGGTTTAAGAAATAAGAGATTAAGTTTATTTAAATTATATTTTTATTACAGTCCATCAGTATGCAAATAATATATATGTTCTGGGTGTATGTGTGCGTATCAGAATGTTCGTTGCCGAGCCAATAGATCAAAATTAGGCGAAGCTAATTAATTTATCATGATAAACTTATATTATAATACATTAAATTATAAAACTATTGTTCATAATATAATTAAACTTTTAAAAGTCACAGTGAAAATAAATCAATTTATATCTACATCGGAATCAATTTTGTAAATAAAGAATCGATGATACACTGTTTATATTTATTAATGATTTAGAGATTAATTAACGAAAATAAAGTAATGATGATTAAATATAATATAGGATTAATAATTTAAATAATGTTTAATTTTAACTATATTTGAACTAAAGTAAATCTGACTTAACCGAGATTTCATTCATTCAATCTAAACGTCAATTATTTGATATGGAATAATTTTTATAAAAATATAAAATTATGAGAAAACTGAATTGGAAATTTTTTTACTATTTAATACAAAATATAAGTTAAATTATATTACATTTGATTCATTTACCATGAAACATTATTTATTATTTTTTGTAACAAAATCGTGCAGTGTTAATATCGTTTCTATAATAATAATTTGACAAAATATTATGTTGATATAAATTAACTTTTGTTGAAAGCAGTTTATTATAAAAGTATAAATTTTAAATCAATAAACGCATACTTTTTTACATCTCTAAAATTAAGAATAATAAAAAAATTAACGTTTTGTTCAATATTTAATAAAGTAATCATTAAATACAATTAATTTTTAAAGCCTGCTTTTACTATTCTTATAAACTATTTAAATAATACGAATTCATCATTAATTTTTTAAGTTTAGGTAATTTTGTAGGTTTGATATCGATTTGACCTATTCACCTACTTACCTATTTCGTAATATGAATCAGTAGACCGGGCTTGATTCCTATCTTCTATCGAAGTTATAGCACCAATATAATCCTAAATACCTCGATCAATGTGTCTTCATATATAACACATAATTACAAAAAAATCATAGAATTTACACATTTACTTACACGCGCGCGCGCGCGCACACACACAAATAAAATCACACAAATAAAATCAATATTTGTTAATATTCTTTTTCAATATTATATAACCTTGTGATAGATAATTTACATTATCAAATAGTAGAAACATTTATTTTTATTGCGTATAGAAATACTTTATAATTAATATCATCAGTGAGTTCCTTTAGTGGCAGTACTCTATTAATAGTTACATAATCTTACAAAGGTATATTAAATTACGTATATAACTACTTATATGCACATAGTTATAACGGTTTATTAATTCTTATCTAGCTCACTGATATTTCTTTTTGACACTTGATATGATAATCGGATGTTCTTATGAGAACGAACTTATCATTTATTTTCGTAAATAGGAGATTTTTTTGTAATTTTGCACGATATAGCCGATTTTAACAAATTCAATTAATATTTCTGAAAAATACCATGTATTTAATATTATTTTTTGTAATTTACATATTATTTTTGTTATAAAAATATTTGTATAGGAAACAGGATTAGCGCGAGAATAAAATGCAAAAATAGAACTTGCAGTAAAAATTGTTTGTAAAACAGGGTCAAGCTGAAGTTAACGTTGTATATAAGTTCAACACTTGAATGAAACCATTAAAATTACTATTGAAAAAGTATCTAAAATTTTACAGCACATATAATTTTACACATTTATAAATAAATCCTTATAAACAAAAGTGAAAAATTATTTTACTAAGTCTCAAATTAAAAGATCGAGTTATTTGTTAGCCTCGATATTTTAGGTTTATTAATATGATAATAATAACATATTTTAATAAATAAAAAATGAGCACTTATTGTGCATATTGTTGAAATATATTTTGGCAATTAAAATTTATTATCATTTTGTAATCTAGAACAAACCTTTCGAATTCTATGAAATTTTTCATTTTTTGCCTAAATAAGTTAAGGTAGAAAGTGTAAACGTTTAGTTTCTCATTTATTATATATTTTATTATATTAATTATATTACATACTCTTTGTATTTATACACAATATCTGTATAATGATATTAGAAAAATTTTAATAAAATTCGTACATAAACTATTTAAATATTTTTTACATATTTCTATATGGATGCAAGATTTTACTTGACATTTTATTAACCAAGTGTATTGAATAATATTGTAAATATTGTATTTCCGTGTTATCTTGTTGACATTATTAATTTTATATCAGAGTATTATAGGCAATTTTAGTTCTATTATGTTATATTATGATTTATCATTTTTACTCTTATTATTTTGAAACTTTTTGAAATTTTATGAATGTAATTTAATCAGATAACTGTTAATTCAATTTTTTATTTTGGCGAATTTAATGTAAATTGAAATTATTGATTAAAATATTAATTTCATTTCTATGAGGTTATCAATATCTGACATTACTTAATAAGAAGTTTTTCAAAATAATTGAATAATTTGAACTTAATTCAAATGTTAAATGTAAAAAAATTGATGGTACAAAAATTATTGTTCATTGTAAATCTTGAAATTGAGTCAGAATTTGTTCGAAAATAAGAAATTCACGGATAATATATTCATTTGAAACATATTAAGTAAATAAGCTAATAAACTTAAATAATCATAATATTAAAAAGACATAACACATCCAAGCGAAAATGGAGACATTTAATCGAACTGTCGTTTATGCATGTCAAATAGTACCGGTAACAATTTTAATAAACCAAAATAAATTACCAAACAGGGATATTATAACACTATATTGACAAAATGTAAATATACGCACTGATGCTCACCAAATATATATATGTTATCAAATTTTTAATTATTTTGTTGTAGTTATTATATATAATTGTAATTGTGGTTTTTTTTTATAAGCACTCATCTTAACTTACGTTCTTACAATAAAAGTTCTTTTAGAAATGTTATTGAAATTATCGAATAGTTTTAAAAAAATCTGGTAGGAAGTTTTGTATATTAAGTTATGTTACAGTATTGTGATAATAAGATGTATTACTTTAATATAAAAATATAAATAAGATCTTATTCGCTTGTTAGTGTTACATCCCCATCAGTAACTTAATTATTATTTGTTCCAAATTTTTAAGTATATACAACAAATATATAATAACGTTAATCGCTTTACTGCCTTTTCATCGAGTAGATGGATAATTAATTAGTAAGGTAAAGTACAAAGGAAATTTGTACATTTATTCATAGGTAGACTATTTAAAATGGTATTTAATTAGATATTCATGTTTAATAAATGCGATGATAAGATGTATATATTTTTATTTTTAAATATATTCATTTATTTCAATAAAAAATATTCCTCCGTCAAATTTTTCATGAACTTTATTCTGAATATTGAAATGTACAGGACTTAATAATTTAATATAATTTTTTTAATTTATATTTATTTATTTGAATAGTTTTACAATTAAAACTTGTAATATTGCTCCTTACATAACATTAAATGTATACAATCTTAATTTACATGATGTATTAAAATACCCAATAATTATATTAGTTTACAAATTTAGGTTCCTTCGTGTTATAAACGTAAACTTTTTCAAACTTACTCACTCCCCATTCTCAATAAATGTTTATGAACTCTAATTCAATATTCAATTAATTAATTTAAATAATTAATAAAGAAATACAATATAAATATATAAATAAATCAATATGTAATTTCTAACTCTTTCACTTACTATAAAATATAATATGCTGCTAATAAGCGATTAGTGTTACTAACGAATATATTTTACGTTAATATATTTTTCAATTTATTGATTAATTATCCTTTTAAGAAAGATTTCTTATGATTTCTAATTCATTATTCGTATACGATGGTATAGTATTTAGTTTTTCTATCATATACTATATATATATATATATATATATATATATATTTCTATTATTTTTATTGAATTTTAATTAAATTTATTACGACTTATTATTCAAAAACGCATTTGCTTAATATTTGAAGAATTAAATTAAATTTGAACATTAAACTATTTTATAAACCCTTTGTATTTTTTGCTTATTTAACATGTAGTCTTAAAATATTTTATCACTTTATATTATCTACTTCCTGAACCGATACTTGCATTGACATATTTTAATAGTAATCTCTGGATTATATATAATTTATTGCCAATAATATAATGCAAAATCTTGTAATTTATAGTACTTTGTACATAATTATTTTTATTCTTTTAATTGGAATTGAAAAATAAGACATTTAATTTCTTGAGAATTTAAGAAATTAATTTCAAAGCTTATAAAGTTTAATTATTAATAAAATGTATTCTAACTCGCATAGTAAATATGTAAAATTAAATTGATTTTCAGCTAAATGACGATCCTGAAGTAATCTTAATTCAATAAAAAACGATGCTAATATTAAGAAAATTTTATTATCGATGTAATTGAGTACTTTATCTTTTATTTCTTTATTTAAAATTGCATATGTATGAGGGATATATATTGGAATATAAATTAAAAATTATTTATTAACCTTTTTATTAATGTAAAATAATTATCTTTGATTATAATGTTATGTTATGGTGTATGTTTCATTTCAAGTTGCTTAATTTTAATATTAATTACTAAAAGTCGTATAAGGAAGTGATATATGCATTGCAATTCAATATATTATATTTATAATAAATAGAATATAATATTCAATTTTCTTCTTCTTCTTCAAAAAAAAAAAAAATCCATTTAATTTTACCGTACTCCAATAAATAATCCATAATTTTGATGATTTGTAGAAACATTTTGTTTGCATTAAATCATAATACACTAGTCATACTGTTAAGATTTTTTATTATAATTGTATTTTATGTCATTACTCGAATCTCGTTAGAGCAAAAAATTATGATGTTATGTTATAAATATTTTTTGCTCATCGAGTAAACAAGTAATTCTTTTTCTACGAATTATTTGGAGTTTCATGGATTTATAATTCAACTTAGCGATCACATTAAGAATCGTTTATTTATATTGTTAGTCTATTTATAATGCTAGCCTAAAAAAATTTAAAAAAAATTTCTAATTAAGTAATGAAACTTAAATGATCATACTGATGTCTATAGAAGCTTATATAATATTAAAATAGTATGTGGGCATTTTATTAATATCTTTATATTTATGTTTGTAATTTATTTAATTTTTTTTTTTTTTACTTTAAATACTGCCTGTAAGTTATATAAAACTTATGTAATTTTGTAATTTTACGAATGTCTTTGGTTACATTTATAAAAATTATACAATGCATGCTTCTTTTAAAACTTGGTTTATACGAGCAAAGAATATTTTTAGTATACATTTTGTTACCTATTTATTATAAATAATTTTATTTATAGCTACATTTTTATAATTTTGTTGTTGAATTTAAAAATCTATGATTTATACGGAACTCAAATTATTTCAAATAATTAAAAAATTATAATTATCAATACAAAGCGTTAGAAAATATTTGTAATATGAATTATTTTTTTATTGATATTTCAGATACGATAGAGAACAATATACAAAAAGGTATTTCTCACAATTTTTCCCAATATCATAATTATCAATATTTATCACTAATTTTAATATTTTTTTTGTAATAGTTTTCTACTTAATATTTTTCCACGTCTTATTTTTGATGTTTTTGTGGTCTTACTGGCAGACGATAATTACGGATTTAGTCAAAGTCCCAGATAAGGTACATTTTATGCTTTTATTAACTTTAACATACAATGCTTTCAAATTTTCATAAAAAGTTTGTTAACCTATATTTGTTACTCTTTTAGTTCAAACTGCCATCTCTAGAATTGGAAAAATTACATCAAGCGGAGAGTGAAGATTCTCACAGACAAATTTTAGAAAGATTTGCTCAAGACTTACCAGTGACAAATCGAACGATCAAAGGGGGTAAGTTGTTTTTAATTTTTTAACTTAATATTAATAATAAATCGATACCTGAGTTACATTAGATTTGTATTTTTTAATATATCCCAAAACTAATATAGCTTATATCGTACATTTTAAAGTTTTAATATTTTTCCTTAATTGCACCTTTAAATGTAATTAGATGAATGTCGCTTGCTTTCTACCTACTTCTTTCAATCTACTTGATTTATTTGAAAGATACTTTACGATACTTCATTAATGAGAAAAGGACAAGGTAGCTGAATAATAATTTTGAATTTACAGAAATACGTTATTGTGAACAATGTCAAATAGTAAAACCCGACAGAGCACATCATTGCAGTGTTTGCCGTACGTGTGTTCTCAAAATGGATCACCATTGCCCCTGGGTGAATAATTGCGTAGGCTTCCACAATTACAAGTTCTTCATGTTATTTTTGGCCTATGCCCTTCTCTACTGTATTTTTGTTGTTGCGACGTCATTGCAATATTTTATTATGTTTTGGAAGGTAAGTGCCATTAATGATATAAATACGTCATATCCACCGACCAACTTATTTTTATGTACCTAGCGTTAAAAGTAAGTTTAGAAATTTTTTTTATATGCATCAAAGAATGTCTTTTCCAGGGTGAATTAGAAGGAATGGATAAATTTCACCTACTCTTCTTATTTTTTGTCGCATTTATGTTTGCCATCAGTCTTAATTCACTCTTCTTCTACCATTGCTACCTCATTTGGCACAACAGGTCAACACTAGGTAAACAATTTAAAAATATACACACGTTTAACTAATTTAGCTTTATGTATGTCGAATGATTTTTAATACTTTTTTCAATTAAATTGCTTGATTATCGGTATGATATGTGTATTGATGTATTTTTATAAAATACCCTAGGTATTTATTATTTATTGCATTTTTAAAGTAATAATGCTATAATCATTATTAATAATAACCTATTGATGTATTTTTCTCTTATTTTTTTTTTTATTTTTTTCTATTAAATTCATTTTTAAATAATGTTTATATCAATCTTTATTATCTGTTGTTTTGTATTTAAAAATAATTTCTCACTACGATTATTACGAACAAACATTGATAAAAGTTTTAAGTAACGAAGCTTAAATTATTAAATTGACTTATTTAATTAATTCTTTAATATAATAATTATGTATAAGCATGTGCATTATTAAATGGTAAATTAAATATATTTTTATTTTTTAACTACGTTGATTGATATCCATAGATTCGATCATTGCTTCAACGTTGGATAATAATTAAATAAATACATTTATAAAATAGGAAAAATATTTACCAAAACATTTATATATTCAAATCAATTATATCAATGCTAATCGGATTAAAAAAAAAAAAAAAAAAAAAAAAATTATTCCCTATATGCCAAGCACTATTAAACTAAATTGTTTCATATATATATATATATATATATATATATTGTTAAAATATTGTCATATTTGTGTATAGGATTTAAAAAACGATATTTCGAAAAATTTTTTATTTCTATAAAGTATTTTATAAACTAAGTACCTCTTGTATATGTGAATATTATAGAGGCATTTCGACCGCCTATGTTCCGTACTGGAAAAGACAAAGATGGTTTCAGTCTTGGAAAGTACAATAACTTTCAAGAAGTCTTCGGTGACAATACTCGATTATGGTTCCTGCCCGTTTTCACTAGGTGAGTTCATAAATTTCATAAAAATAAGTTATGGTAGTGACGTTAGTATTAATAGATAATCAATTTCAAAAAGATAAATTTTTTTTCAAATTATGTTTAATGGCGTTGTAATATTAATACAATTAACTCCTATGACGAGCATTCATTACATTATTTAATTGAATTAAGCCCTATACTTTTTAATTCGTTTTGTAAACATATTTAAAAAAGAAAAAAAAAATTGATTTTCAGAATAATTTTTCTCCATAACATAATAATAAGACATTGGTGTTGTATAAAAAAAAAATTTTCAATGATAAAGGAGTAAAATCATATTCGTTCTTACGTAAAAAATCGTAATCGAATCTTTCGACTGACATTAAATCTGACTACATTTAATTTTAAAATGAAAACTATTGATTTTAACATATTTTACAGAATTTATGAAAAAATAAATTATTTTGCGAATTATTTAAAGCAGTTCACAAATTTGCTAATTATCTCCGCTGGTATTATAATACTAATTAATTCGTAATATTTTTATTTATATATAATCTTATAAATAAATTTTTTGAATGTACTACAATAATAGTTAAATATTTTATAAATGAAACGATAACTCAAGATTATTTTATTTTATTTTTAATTAATTGTTTTATTTTATAATATAAGATAATATATTATTATCTCGAATGCGAGGCGCATGATCTAATGTGGGTCACTAGTCAAATACTTTTTGTGCCGCATGAGGCTTCTTTCATCAAAATATATATATATATATATATATATATATATATATATTTTATTCAAGAATAAAAAGAAATCTCAATTGATGTATGATAACAAAATATTATTAACTCTGAGCCAACTGCACAATACCAGATTTATAGATAATAGATGACTGTGCGTTTCTATACAGTCATTAACAATTAATTTTTATACAGAAATTTCATATCTGTATTATGCATTCGAATTATTGTAATATGTTGCACTATAAATTGCTTGATTATTAATTCAATTATAAATTACTTTTTGCACAATATATCATACTGCACAATTATAATTTATATTTTTTAATTTTATCTATATAGTTTTGTTGTTGCTATGCCCTATTTTTTATATAATACATTTATATAAACGTTAAATCTTTATCTCTTGTGTACCTCTTCTATAAAACTATCGTATACAATTATTTTATAAAACTTACGGCTCTTACAAGTTCTTGGAGCAATCTATAAGCGTCTGAGTGAAGAAGTCATACAACTGATTATAATAACAAAACAAAAAACAAAGAACAACAAAAAACAAAAATAAAAAAAAATATACGATATCAGTATTATGGTTCTGATAAATCGAGATTTAATTAATTAAATTAAGTAATACGACAGTTTGATATTTTAGGGCGGTGGGCAGTGAGGAGGGCGGGAGGGAGAGAGAGAGAGCGGGGGGGGGGCGAGCCTTAAAATATTTGTCATGAAAAAAATTAATTAAATTGCTGGATACAGGCAGGAATGTTGTTGAGTTATACTCTCTATACACAATGAACTAACTTAACGCGTTCTTCGACAACAGATGTACATTTTATTTTTATCTATCTGCACAAGCAATGTTTTTTCGCTTGATATATAAGGTTTTTTAAGTTCCCAAAAGAAGTCAGATTTTAGCAAAGAGAAAAAAAATCTTTTTCAAAGCGGGAGGGTTGCAAACGGTATGTTCTAGTCTTGGAAACGGAGTCGTCTTTCCAGTAAGATCGCAGCACCAAGGTGTTTCCAATTCATACAACTCGATGGGCAGTACTCAGAACAGGTCAGCATTCACTTTCAGACCATAAGTTTCTAAAATCAGTATTAAAATTAAAACTTTTGACCTTACCCTTTCTTTCTTCAAAATTCCAATATTATTTTTACTGTGGAACTCCTTGCAAGTTGATACTTTTTTCTTTATCTGGTTTCCGAGCGCGAATAAGCATCTTTTAAAAGGCACGTCTTTCAATTGGACAATGTTCGATTTAAGCTATTGAGCAACATAACATTCAAGCGGTAAGAATGCAAATTCGTGAATTTATAACTAATCAAGAATCAAAGAAAACTATATGGATATCAGTTGCTAGATAAAAATCTCAATTCTTTAAACTTCGATAGCAGTTATACATAATTATACGTAGTAATGCGTAATCATAATAAATTTTTCGTATTTAAATTTGAAAGTGTGAGAATGTTAATGCTAGTGTCAATGAGATAAGGATTCTCTCGATATTATCAATAAATTCTTTTGGCCTAATGGCTTAATTTTGTGCTTGAACTTAGCAATCCGTGATTTTTTTTTTCATGCTATCAACGGATGAAAGGCATCGAGTTCCAAAGTCAAAAAGTAGAGAATAAATTTAATTAGTTATTGCATGCGCATGTCGCTAATATCACTAGTCGCTAGATATTCGCTCGTTTGGAACTTTAATAACTTTGTCACAAATTTATGTACAATGTTTAATATGTAAAAATGCATGAAATTTTTTACTCGTGCATACATATTGGGAAGTATAGATTAAATATGTAATTACATTCTTATTTCTGTAATTTTTACTCGTATGCGTGTTTGTAGTGTATATATGTGTATATATGTATATGTGCCTAAGAAAAAAATAATCTGCTTTGCTTTTTTTTATAATGCTTTTCATTGATAGTACATAGTTCATGAAAATTCGTTCAATATTATTAATTAATTATATTTTCATTACTCATTTTTTTTTTCTTTTATCTTATAGTAATTAATACATTTTTTTTTTTTTGTATTTGTATATGTATTTTTCATAGTAAAAGCATTTTATACTTTTAATAAGAATTATGTTGTCCCGTATTATCAACGAGTGAGATTATTATTATCTTACGTTACAAATGAAATAAAATATATGTACAAGAATTAATCAATTTACCAGGTACATTGTATTAGGTAGATAAATTAACAGATCAAACAACAGAATTGGAAAGTATTGCGAATATTAGAACCTAAGAATGCCTATAATTCAAATTCTGGTGGCATTAATTGTGTGTGCCTTTTTTCATTACCTTTCGATCGATTAACAATGATTTACTTCATATTTATCAACCTCAGAGGTATTGTGCATTTGGTTCCTTGACAAATTATGTGCTACATATACTCTTGAGTAGCGTAACTGTACAAATCACAACTCCAAATTATAAAATTAATAAACACACGTCTTCCATTTGACTATCATTCGCGAATTGATATTTTATGTAATCGTATAAATTTGATCTATTTTATTCATTTACGAGGATATAGAGTATAGAGTTAGCACCAAATAATCGAAATGAACATATGTTAAAAGATAAATCAATAAGTGCTTATTTAAAATAAATATCTAACACATTATTCATAAGTGTATGTATTATTAATTTTTTAATTTTCTTAATAATAAAATGTGTTCTCTTTCAAATTGAAAATATACGATTTCTTCATTACTTATTAAAATATATTCTTCGATAAAATAAAAAAATAAAAAAAAGAAAAATTTTAAAGTAAATATTTTTTAATAGACAGACTTTACTTATTACGATCGATAAGTTTTATTTATTTATTTATTTATTTATTTATTTATTTATTACTTTATCAATGATATGATTGAACTTTACTTTATAATATTTTTATACCTTTATGATCAAATAGTAAAACTATTTTATTAAAATTATTATGAAAGTTTATTTGAATAAATTTTAAATATAAAATAGTGGAATTAATTAGAATATTAATTAACACTGATATTAATATTATAAATTGTTATAAATTACAAAATAGCATTGATTTGTATACGTATAGCCATGTTTATCTTGTATAATATCTACATTTATTGGCATTATACTTTAATATTAATAGAAATCATTGTTACGTTATTATGTATTGATATATATATATATTAATTAAAAAATATTTTACTTAAAATCGAAAAACAGGCTGAAAGTATTGTGTTAATTAAATTATAATTACACATATTCTTAAATCATAAGTAAATAACTAATTTATATATGCATATGTAAGTTGTGTTTATAAATTAAAGATTTTTTAGTCGATGACGGAATTTTATATGAAAGAATTAAAATGATTAAATAATTCAAAATAATTTAGATTTGTTATGAGACACGTAGATACGATAGTATTACGTATATATGAAAATTATTCACAATTATCAATAATAATGTGTGAAGCATAAAATATTTTAATATTTTAATTATTTTAATGTTGGTATGAATTGAAAATAATTTTGAAAATATCGATGTATGTTAAAAGAGAAGTATTCGTAGAAAATAAAATCTTTTAATTTTTATTTGTATTAAATGTATTACATATAATAATAATAATAAAAAAAAAAAAAACAGTATTTTTAAAGATTTAATTATCAATTTGTATGAAGTGCTAACATTACTCAAGTATTTATTGAATAGATGATTATGTGAATCATTAACGAAAGAATCCAACATAAGAAATATGAGTTTCAAAAACATTAATGGAAAAATATCAATTATTCATTTTACTGGCATATTACAATGATTCAAAAGTAAATTTAAAAACTGCTAAGATTTTCTGTCTTAGATGACAGATAGACGACAATTCTACTTAATTAATTTGCTTAAAAATGAGAAATTCTTTGATGAAAATAGAATGTTGAAAAATATCTAAATCAAATTTTTCCGACAGTGATGCTGTAGATTATATTACTTTGACAGTACGGATATAAATGTTAAATTTTATTAACCAATAATAAAAATGAAACTATAATCGATACATAATATTCGGTATATTTTCAATTACTATGGTAATTTCAATTAAATCGATTATTTTATAATATTTTTATAAGTTACAGTTGTGCGTGCGTTTGCAATGAAAAAATTACATTAAATATTTATGAAAAGACTAATTATTTTTATACTCTCTTATATATATATATTTTTTTTATATTATATTATTATTCATATATCATTTCAATAGTCCCTTTGGAAATATTACGTGATAAATTAAAAATAAACTGATTTGCTAATCAAGTTCAATTTGGCTATTCCATTAGAAATTGACGTATTTCATGAGATATTACGACTTCGGTCTTTCTAATTGAAGATATAAAATTCCTCTTATAGATATAACAGAAGTCGTTAGCGACATTACGGATATATTATATACAAATCTTATGACAACTCGTGATTGTAAATAATCCTTATTTAGCGAAGACCGTTGAATTCTTTCAGGTGAACACTTTCCATCTTAATTAATGCAAATAATTATAGGCTCTTTGTAAATTTTAATATCTACGGAGCGAGCGAACGATGCCATTGTTTCGCAAAGAAATCTTGAGTATATTATGTCATGCTCAAATAAACGTTCACTTATTGCTTACAATAATCACTCGTGGAAGATAATTCCTAGGTTATAAAAGTCCAAATAATCCATAAAATTGAGTACGCGTTGAGAATGCACACTAATCGAAAAGGTATCAATTGACATTCAAGGCGAATAGGTAAAAAGAGCTGTGTCGAGGTACAGTTACGCTGCTGTGAGTCGAGCGCGAAATGAAGGCCGAGAGTGTCGAGAAGGTCGAAACCTCCAGGGCATTATGCCAATGGATACGTTTAACCATGGGTTTGCAGCTTCGGCGACGGTGTGACGTTCCCCGAGAGACAGTGTGACGAGGACCGACATACGCTGCTTAGCGTGGAGACGCAGCGCTGGACAAGCACTGGCGAAGAGACCGAACTCGACTCGCCCTCCCTCATGACCGGTTCACGTGCAGGTATTTGGTAGTAGTCTGACCACCACCCTCGGCCCCACTTGCTCCTCGTAATCCCCCCTCCCCCTCCCCCTCCCCCTCTCCCTCCCCACTCGCTACCACCACTCACGGACCGCACATACGCGCGCGCGCACTTGGCCAAGAGGGATAAAACGCGCGTGCCCGGGTGAGGGAGTGTCAAGAGCAGAGGAGATCTAAGGATTAGCGGTGCAAGGGCCAAACTTTCCAACGTGTCTCTCCTATCAACGCATTTGTGCACTCGCTTAGGTTGGACCTTATTTTTCGAATTTGTTATCGATACGTTGATGCATGTGCTGTTGATGTATATGCGACTACAGACTAGTAATTCAAGCTCACGCGCTTATAATTAATTTGGCATTAGTGCAATCTCTGAGTAATATTGTTTGTACTTGTGTATAAAAGCACTTGTTAATTGATTAAAAGTGCTTCAAGATCTTATGGAATTTTATTTCTACGATTGTCGGATATTGCAATTTTAATAAGTCGCTCGACTCGTTCATATAAAAACGTGCATTTTTTTTTTTTTTTTTTTTTTTTTTTTTTTTTTTTTTTTTTTTTTTTTTTTTTTTACCTTGAAACAAATGAATTCTTACCCCGTGAAACTTTGATTCAGAGTCGATACTCAATTCTTATTAATTAACGGAAAATAATAATCGTCTGATTTTACATAAATATTACTGTAATCATCGAGACATTATAACCTAAGTAGATGCGTCCACGTTTAATATAAGCATTAATTGCTTAATTTCTAATTTGTCGCTTTTTTCATAATTTTATATAGAATGCAATTTTTATACACTCGATTATTTGAATAAGCATTATGTAAAAGTCAATATTTTACTTTAGCGAAATAAAGTTACCGAGCCTCGAGCGCATAGTGAGTGAGAAAATCGCCTTTATCTTCAAATTTTCTGACAGTAGTAAGAAATATAAGTAAATTAATGCGACTGGCTTTAATAATTACTTAAAGTACTGATAAACTAAGAAAATACTA